GCGAGGGAAGGGGGAGAGGCGCGCCTCCGGCCAGGCCACTCCTCTGCGCCTGCGCCAACGGCCGCGCATGCCCCGAGCGCGCGCCCCGCTGAGGGGGAGGTCTCGTCCCTTGAGGACCTCCGTCCCCGCCCCTGACCTGGGGTCTGCGTTCACACGATGCGCCCGTCCAGGTCAGTGAAGGGCCTCGGAATTCCTGGGTGCCATTCGCCAAGTTGGGTTACCGTTAACTGTGGTGTGTGGGTTTGGGGGTAGCTTTAGCGAGCTGCCTCGTTTAGGGTTCAAGTAGTGTGCGAACCTGGAAAATTGTATTTTTTACAAATATATTTGTACTTTTGAAAAAGAATTATAATGTTTATGCATGTTTTAACATAAATCACTCCATAATTCTATAAATTATGAAAGGAAAAAAAAGGACTAACTCCGTAAATGGGTTAAGCGTGTTGTGCGAACATGGGCAGATTGAGCGACACGAGTTCTCTGAGGGAATCATGGAGGGTAGTTTTTTGTTGTCAGTGACAGGGCTTGGCTATGAACTCTATGAAATAATTAGGGGGAAAGAATACCTCAAAGCGTTTGCACACTGCCTACCCCTAAATTTGAATGGAATATTAATTAAGCTCTGGGAGAAGATAACGGTGATAAATGTGTGGTAAAGAATCAAGAGGATAAAGTTAGTTTCGGAAAATAAAGTAGATTTTTAAAAAATGTCTGTGTTAATGATTGGATTCACACAACACAATGAACTGTGATGTTTACTGTGGTTTGTTGAATAAGCCATAGTGACTTTGTTCACACCTAATGCCTAACCACAATGAGTGGATTTGTTTCCTAAACCATGAGTTCTTAACCTGGTGTCCACAGACCCCTTGGGGGTCCATGGCTAGATTTCCAGCGATCTGTGGATTTGAATGGGGGTGGGGGGAAATTACAACTTTATTTTCATTAATATCTAACAGAAACGTATGTAGCTTGTCTTGTTACTGATTTGGTAGATTAATAAATACGTAAGCACATATATTGTGATATTACAAATTTCCCTTTTTTATATATTTATGAATTCTATTTGGATATAATAGGTTTCCTTTGTAATGCAACCTATATCTATGTATTTTGTTTTATGCATTTAAACACAGTTTTCTGAGAAGGGGTCCATAGGTTTCACCTGATTCTCAAAGGGATCCATGCACAAAAAGGTTAAGAAGCCCTGACCTAAGCCAAAAATAAATGTATCCCATAAGATTTAGTATGACATGTGCATCTGGCCAAAAGGCTTTTTGGCTCCATAAAGATTGATCAGTTTATAATGTAATGTAAATCGTGGATATAGATATAACTAAATACAGTTGTTCTTCATAAATGATTATGCTGTATAGGTAGTCCACAGTTTAAGAACGAGTTCTGTCCCCAAGGGCTGTCCTTAAGCTGAATTTGTATGTGAGCCGGAACAGTATTATTGTATAATACTCTGTAAGTAGTACTGTGTAATGAACTCAAACCATTGTGTATTTAACTTGAATTATTGTGTATTTAACTAAAATTTTGCTACAGTAGGCTCTGTTCTTAACTATGGTTCATCTGTAAACTGGGCTTCTTAACCTGGGGACTACCTGTAGTTAGGCACATGAAACTATTCCAAGCATCAATTCAGCCCCTTGTTGTATTTAGGCAAGAACTTCCCAGGTGACTTTTGGTAATGGACTGATGTTTGATGGCTCTGTTTGCACAATGATTAATTCCCCGTGATTAGCACATGAACCATACACTAATCATATAGAGTGAATTCACAATATATCAGCCAAAATATGATTTTATTTGTATTATGAATACAACTAGTTTTTCTTTATCACCTGAAAATGGGAATAAAAACGATCTGCTTCAAAAGCTCATAGGAATTAATGTAATATGAATTATAAAACTATATGATAGGTAATGAGTTTGATAGCCTAGACATTTGAAATAAATCTACAGTAAAAGAGCTAGTAGAATTGTGACGGAAGCTAAAAACCTGGAGAGGTTTTTATTTATATGCCTCTGTGTGTGTGTGGGGTCACTGTAGCAAACGATGCTGGTTTAGATTGGCTTTTAATCTGATCCAGCAAAACTGTTCTTATGAATGTTGATAATTACATAGAAATGTTGTGAAGAAAAACAAAACGCTTCTGTGACTGTAAGGAATTAGCTTCATTGTTAATATACACTGCTGTGTGTTGCAGAAGTAGAGAAATAGATATTTATTTTTGGTTATACAGTATACAAACTTCATCTGCAGTTATTAGGTCAAAGATTTCCAAATTGGCAACATTTACTAAATGTGTTGAATGTGCTGTTCTTCCCCCTAGTGGACAACTGTGATATGGTTGTTAGTACCCTGTCCTTTTTTCTTTTTTCTTTTTAATAAAGACTGTTCTTATAAAATGTGTTTGTCTTAAAAGGTGCTACCAGATTTCTTCTGAGCCATGGTGTAGTGTGTATCACCTGAAAATTTTTAGGGCTGTTGGGAAACCTAACTTTTTTTTCTTTATCCTTTACTTTTGAACAAAGCATGCCAGATTTGGTGGTGTTAAAAAAAATTGAAGTCAGAAAATTTTAATTCTAAGTCACCATCACAACCCTGCTCTTACACTGGACTGCTGCAATCTACTTACAATATAATTGTCTGAGATTTCTCACAATAGGCTAATTAGTAGTTAAATTTAGATATAATCCATGCAGACATGTAACTTTAGTACTGTATAAAGTTCTGTTAGTAGACTTTGCACTGACATATTAGCTTATGTAAAACTAAAACATTTCTATTAATCTACTGACTGAAATTTTACAGGTAAGAGATTGCAGGTGATTGAAGCATAAAATAAGAATCTTAAAACCCCTCATTTGATTCCTATTATGTTTTTTCACCCAGTGCAGGAAGAACATTCTGTATCAGTTCCCATCCACCTTTTTTTATTGTTGTAGTAGCCTATTTCTTCTCAATCCAATGCTTTTTTCACTTCTGTATGCTTCTCACCAGATTGGATCTATCTCTTCAGGAAAAAAAAAAAGCTATAATTCCTTTCCCTTCTTCATCTCCAAGTTTTAAATAATCATTTAATCATTAATATCATTCTATGACACAAGACACTTGCTCCCCACACCCCCAAAAAGAGTAGAATATATTTCAAATATTGCTATATCTTGATTTTTCTATCCAAAGGACTTTCCAAATTGTGCAGCAAGAAAAAGAGCCATTAAAATGGATGCCACCATTTAAGAAATCACTAATGATTTGCCTGTTTACAAGCGCCTCTATACTGTTTCAGTCAATTGAATATTAAGTGACTTACAGGATATGTTTGATATTTTTTTTAAGTCTTCAAATGTACATGCCTCTGCTCTTGAAGGCTTCAGTAAGATACATGGTTGATTCTCATGGATGTGTCTTCCATGCATAACTTTTGTCATGCTTAAAAAAAAATCTTATAGGAAGTGAATTCACTAAAGTTGGATGTTGTAAGTTCCACAGCACCAAACAACCACAGAAATTGTTGTGAATGTTTGTTTACAAAAGGTGAAGCTAACATTGTGTTTCCAAGGATATGGGGGGGGGTTGTTTTTATTTTTTTGCAGCAAAGCTTTGAACTCATGAGATTACTCTTTCCAGTCCAATAATCTTCTAGCATTTAACATGTACATAAACTTGGCATACTATACAAGTACATCAGTGTTGCACATAATGGCTGACAGTGTTTAAGAATTTTTAATTATTTTTTAAAGAACTCTGAAATAATAGCATTGTCCAGAAAAAAAAAATCTTCTATCCTTTGTCAAGTTCTTCCTTTTAATAATTGAATGTATGCCCCAGTGTCATGTTACAAATATTCTCATCTGCTTGTAATCTTAGTTTAGAAGCAATCCTACATCAAATGCTAAGTCTTCCATATAAAAATAGGAAACTTAGCTTGCATTCATCTTATGTACTGGATATATTCTCTGTACGCCTTACTTCTAAATATGGGTAGCATTGTTTTATTTCTAGGAAGCCTTTCTCTCCTTGTTGTTCATCAGTATGTCCCTTTTAAAAGGCTTAAGGCCAGTCCTTATTAAATGGCTAAATTGCAAAGCTTTAGAGAGCTTTCTCTGTCCTCAAAATCCTTTGTAGGACCTTGGACACAGCTGTAGTTCCTTTCCTTCCTGGAGAAGTATTATCATTGATGTAAAACTATTGTATTCAGTTTCATTATCTCCTTAGTGTTAGCACCTTCAGTGCAGCTTCAATGGCTGACTTGAGCACCTTGAAAAGCATGTATCAAAGGAAGATACCTGAGCAAGGATATAGTAGAAGATACATAAAACTATAGGGCCAAGTTATAAGGTCAAGGGAATATTGTCTGTTATGCTGGTTGTTGGCAGCCCCATTACAGACTGCAGGCAGGGGAATGCATGTTTGAATGTACATTATATATAATAAATTCTTAATATGGTATTTAACAAGGATAATATGCTAGCTATTCAGTCTTCTCCTGCGTTTAGTCCATCATTAAAATTTTCTGTGTATTTTGGATGGTTCATAGAATTGCTTCATATGCTATGTTAAGGATATGTTTTTGTTCAGAAACTAATGCCCAAATCTAAACTTGCAGGGTACAGTATATCCCTTTCCTTACTGCAGACTTCTATGCTTTTAATACCAACCCAGCTCAGACACAAAGATTCCATCATTGCAGTACCACAGTTTTACTTTTGAATGTTGACCTATTATACAGCTGTTGAATCATAAGCTGTGATCAAACAAAAGGAACATTTTAAAAAATGCCAGCCTTTTGTAGCAGCTGAAATCTATCCTCTTGAGTAAATGATGTAGGATAGAGACAAGCAGCTTCTTATCACGAGCTAACTTTTTCGGGCAAATGTATAAAGTCTCTGTTTCTTAACTAGTTGAATGAGTAGACTGGTAAAATTTATCCCACTTAGCAGGTGCTATGCTGAATATCAGATCTGACTTTTCAAGTAACTGCATGTACACATTATAATAACTTTCTAATTTGTTAATAGTTAGTCATATGTTCTAAAGCTGTGACTGATTAGTAATATTTGCATGAGTTTGAGGTGATGATTGTGTGATTGAAGTTAAATATGATGAAAATAATACTTCCCAAGGAAAAAAGCCACCTTGTTTTCAAAGGATGCACATGTATGTTGAAGCAGGTATTATTCAAGACAAGGATATTCATATCTTCTCATGCACCCCAGTGAATGCCTCTTTGTTGATGGCAGTCACATCTCTATTTAGACATTAAAAAAGACAGTTAATAAGGGGATCAAGAATTAGCTGATAAATATAATTGAATGCTGCTATTGGACTAACTCATCTCAAATTGACTTTTTTGTGAACTGGGTAGAAGGATTAATAAGGCTGCAGACTGAATTAGGCAATAAAAAAAATATTCATAATATACACATTATCTTGTCCATTACTTGGATAAAGAACATGTTCAAGGAATGTGAAAGAAAAAGCAGCCAGGATGCCCACAATAGAATTACCACATGCAAATACAGCATCATATATACAAAGCTTACAATTCAAAAGACCCTGATTTAAAAAAGATCACAATATCCTGTTTTATATGTTTAAAGATTCAGCAGGTTACTACCGCAAATGAGGGCATGAATATATGGGTCAGGACATCTATACCAGTGCCTGGTCTTCAGGAGGCCCTGTTCAAAGAACATAGGAAATTGTCTCATATCAAGTCAGACTTATAAATTTGGACTGCCTAACTCTGGGCTATCTCTGCCATGTTGGGACAAGGTGCAGTTGTGTAATACTATAGTCAGTTGTAGCTGACTATATTTACTTTCTGCTGTTTTTTTTCCCAAAGATGAAGAAATATTAATGAACAGTCAGCTAAATAAATTATAGTGTGGAAAAATCCGTCAAAGCTGGGAAAGAAAACTGTGTGTTGTGGCAATGGGGACATCCATCTCTACGTACGTCACTACCAAATGATTTGAGACCTAATTCTCTATGCAATATTTTAAAAATGATTCTAAAAATTATTTCAGATGGCATTCTTGGAAATCTTTGGGCTGGGCTGTGTGCAAATGTTCTTTATGTTCTCTGGTTATGTATGTTTCTAATCTAATAGTATACATATCCTTTTACTAGTGATACAGCTTATGCAAACAGCAGAACCTATTTTCCAACATTTTTTGCCATACTGTACAGTGGGTGGAAATTTGCAGGCAGAAAATCTCAATTCCTTTTTTTAAAGGCTATTTTTCCTCTGTGTATATACCTAGCTATAAATAACAACACATTTTATTTTTAAATTTATTTTTGTGCACAGCTGTAGAGATATGTAAGCAATTACTAGGCTTTTTGAAAAGGCGTCCAAATGGGCACTGTATTGGGGTAAATAATACTAAAAATAGTATTGATCTTAGTTAAGCACTTCTTTCCAAAGATTACAGACACAATAGTGAGTCAGTTATTAGTTATTTTCCAGTGTCAATTACTTGCTATTCAATACTGTGATGCATTTCAGTTGCAGTGCATTTTATAAGCACAAGGGAGATGTCCAAGCAGAGATCTTGTGGAACTAAATGCTAACATTGCACATGTATTGCACATTTGTGCAGCTTCCATAGAAAAGTGGCTGGAGGAAAGGTGGTATTGTGGCGGAGGGAAGAAAGTTGATTGGAAAAGATTCAGCCACCTACTTTTTCATATTTTAAAATACTCTATCCTGCTAAATTTACTAGGGAATTTTACTGTAAACCGAAATTTAAAGTTCAGTTGAAATTCATGGATCTGTTCTTGCTCATGTAATTTGGAGTACAGTAATTTGTTATTTAGCTTAAAATTAGCCTTGTCAAGCATGGTTTACTTTTGAGACATTTTTACATTTCAGCCTCTCTGTTAGCTTTGGATTTCTATTTGTTGATATTAAACTGAATTTATACCTGTGGGTGGACAATGGGTTTCCTCTTCATAATGTGTCACAAGAGGCAACAGCACTAACTTAAGAGATCATTTTTGAAATTGGGGAAAGGAGATGGAGTCAGGAATAAATAGCATATTTTTCAGATTAAGGATTTTAATATTAATAATTACCTATAATTCATAATTACCTATTTTAGATGTAAACGTAATTGCAAGCAATAACAAGGTGTATTACAAAGTAATGGCTTTACTCCTTAAAGAGCTAAATTATATTATGAAACTTAAATGCTTTTTCATAATCTGCAAACAATAACAATATTGGGTTGCTTTCACTATTGTGGTTCTGTCACCTAGAATGTGTGCTGATTTCTGAGATAAAAATGTAAATAGGACAACGAGGTCCTAAGGGCTTTTTCACATACTGTGGTGCAAGTTTACCTGCTGACTTCACATCATTAATTATCTTTTCAGCTTAATTTCTGTACAACGAGAAAGAGTCGTTTTTCCTACCTATTTTTCCCCATATAACATGACGTGTGCAGCATTAAATACTTTTAACAATTTTTAACAATTTTTAACTGAAGCAACAGTTCTCAAAATTCCTAGAAGGAGGTCCCATTAATGGCACTATGTCTTCATTCAGGAAACCCGAGTGAGGCTCTTTGCCTTTTGTGCTATCTGTTGTTCACTAATGGTTTTCTTTTATAACCTGATAACTTAAGTTGGAATGTAGGGTTTTCAGACCTGAGAATAAATCCATTTGAAAGAGTTTGTTTCCTAGGAGTCATGGATATGAAATGTCTCTCACTAATCTCCTATAGTGACTGATCAGTTTACGCTCACTATCTAGGAATAACTGAATCCAGTGGCCAACAGTAATAATAAATGTCCAATATCAGGAATTAAAACAAGCTTAAAAGCAATTTGACAAACACATTATTATTAGAACACTAATATACATCGAATAGGCTCTTAGTAATTATTCTGGCCTCCTATTAAAACACATACATATGCACACACCAACAAATAATTTAAATAAAAGGTCACCTGAAGCTGTTTTAGGTTGGCAAATTAGATTAAGAATCTGGTTTGCCTAATTGTAACATATGTGAACACATAGTCTTTGACAGTCCTTGCAACCATGCAGAGATGGAGCCATGAAGCATACTCTTTATTAGGAACTGAATGGTGACATAGAATTTTTCCAGTTCAATATCCCTCCAGCGTGACTTGCAGAAGGGATTTTACTTGTAGCCAGTGTCTGAATGGCTCTAATGTTTATGTTTAGGAAACATTATTTCCTAGATGATCCCGTTTTGGAGGATAGTTGTGTTCCACCATACAGTATGTAGCTTATTGTCTCAGTTCATATCAAGATAAACCATGGCTAGGACTGATTTACGTAATGATTTGCAGTCAGCCAAAAAGCTAGAATCGGAAACCATGATTGAGAAAGGTTTTCAAACCATGGATTGTGCTAATTATGATACTGTGCAATGGATAAATTAGCATATTTTCCTTAGAAGATTTGCTCTACTTTCAGAAAAACAGAAGGGTCTAGTCAATGTGAAAGATAAGCACAGCTAAAGCATGATTTGATGAATATAAAGAAAAGGAATGCTAACAAGTATCATAGTTCCAATTTTGGCTTGTCTGTAATTGCATTCATGCATAGTGTTAAATCCAGAATTTTTAAATCATGGTTTGTTGAATGAGCCTTAGTGGCCTAGTTCACAAATAACAACAATGCTGCAGTGGGCACATTTACACGTACACTAAATAAGTACTAAGGAAATTATATTATGGTGTTAAATTGTATGTGAATCAGTCCTGAATGTTAGATCCTACAGTGTGTTCTAAGATAAGGTTAATGAAAATCATAATTTGGTATGAAGAAAGCCTATTGTGAGATTTGTCTCCAGTTATCTGCTCAGGAAGCAATACTTTGCAGTATATCTACTGTCTAGCTTATGGCACATTGTAGTCTGGAATTTGAAGACTGATTTGTTTGGCAGAGTGTGCTGGTATGAGTTGGCATGTTTTAAAATAACCTCTTGGTCCCTTTCATTATTATTTGCACAAAGCCCTAGAAAGGTAATAGGAAACAACGAGTAGATCTAGGCTTACTCTGAGTCAAGAGGAGGTGGTGGTTTGTATGACACAGAAGGTACAATCCACTAAACAGTTTCCATTTGTTTTAGTGGGGCTTGTGCAGGAAAATTTTCTAATCACTCATGGATTAGTACTAATTGTGGGGGGAGGGGGAGAGACTAACTTGCAGCCCTTCCCTCTTTGATACTAGGTTTTAGTTGGTCCTCCACTCAGAGCATCTTGAATTCAGAGCATGATTGTAGATTGCTGGGAAAGAGAAAACTAGGCTGAATTATGGTGTTCAAAAAGCAGGGAGGGATGAATTGAGGTAATGGAACATGAGCAGTCTCATTCTAAAGCCTTTCCAGTATCTTCCCTTCAGACCAGTGAATTTTCTGAGATGGTGATGAAACAACTCTCTTTGTTCACATCCTCAGAGACAAGGCTAATGGCGTTCTTCCACACGTTTCTTGCGAACTAGAGAGAGAGAAAGGAAGAAGAACAAGCAAGTAAGTCTCACAGAATACTTTTCTAATTTTGTAACTTTTCTTTTTAGTAAAGGTGGTTAATAAACAATTTTATTTATATCTACACTTGTATTCATTCCTACCACTGTGGAGCCAGTACAACTTGTCATCCTTTAACTTTGTAGTAAATCTTCAAGATAAATTTGGATGGCGGATAGGAGTAACTTAAAAACATGGTAGAACTGAAATTCAAATCCAAATGTTTCCAGTCCAAATCAAATACTATTTATTATGTAAAAATATTTGTCTCTTTCTGTGGCATCTTCTTAAAGACATGCACCAGAATGAGGTGTTGAACTCTTGAAATGATGGAACAAACTGCATTACTTTGTGTAATTTTTTTTTAAGAAATGGTCTTCAACCGTGCATTTACATTAAACAGTGTTCAAGATCTTTTGCAATACAAGTGGACACTAAAATTCCAACAAAATCTTAACTGGTAGACAAATAGAAGAGGAAAGAAACAATGGCTAAAACCATTTAAAAACTATTCTGCCTGGTCAAAAACATTGGGAAGCAATGCATTTGCAACCCTTGTTCTTAAGGTTTTCAGATATTAAAGAAAAAAAATGAAATAACGTAAGGAGAAAAAATGGCATTTCTATAGATGTCACATATACTTCTCCCTTTCCTACCTCTTATTATTTAACCTAAACAAAGATGCATATTTAGGGTTGCTATGTTAGTTGTTTGTCTACAAACCTCTTTTTACACAGTGCAGCATATATTGTTAGGAAATCCAACAAAAAAAAAATAAAGCATTACTGAAATACCACAAGGTGGCCATCATTCCTTTAGCAGGATCTTTTTGTCAGCATTTGTTTTTCTTTTGCATATGAAATTCAGACATCATTGTTTTATCACGTTATTTCAGTATAAGGTTAAAACAGAACTTAGTTCCCAAGTGACTAGCTAACTTGATAAGAAGGCTTTTGGTTCAAATGTTATGTTTGTAACCCTTGCACCATACCCTCAATATGTAAAGAAAAACATTTTCTCTTCATCAGTAGGCAAAATCCCAGTTAGCTTCATTTCTCATGAGACAAACCTCTCTAACCATCAAAGAAAGAAGATGTGTATTTTTACAATGATGGCCACCTCTTCTAGTCCACTCTTGCTTCATCCATTTCCTTTTCTGTTAAGAGATCCTTGTGATCATTATGTATCAGGTTTGTCATTTTGTAATGGCCCAAAGAAGACAGGACATTTTCTAATTTTCCTAGTCTGAATTGGATCCACTATTTTCTACTGGTAAGGATGCTCCTGAGCTTTTACTAATTTGAGAGGCTGGTGTCTTACCTAGATCATTATTTTTAGTGATGGCTGCTGCTACTCTGGTTCTTGGGCCTTGCTTTGTAAATTGGTACCCAAATTTGAGAATCTGTGAGTTCTCCTCCAGCATCTGAGCAATCTCCATCTCTACTGCTGTGCCAAGCTGTTGTCTCTGGGAAAGCAACCAAAATCAAATCAAATGGAAAATATTTATGTTGGTTCATGGCAGCATCCCTCTATATACAACTTTCAACCTAAATTTATAATACCATCATTATACATGGCACTTCATGTACGAAACTAAAGTCTCTAAGGGCTAAACTAGATTTAATATTTGGTATGGTGTTGTGGAGCTTATCGTTGTCAAAGAATTGTTATGGAAGCAGGAGACAGACCATTATACTGGTATGATCATTTGCTCCCACTGTAGTCCTTCTTGAAGTTGTACTTCCTGGAATTGCTGGATGGAATGGAAATTTTTTTATCAATGATGCCAATTGAAGCACGTCTCATCTGGGGGTAGGGAACTGCAACGGACAGTAAAGAGCTAAACAGGTCTCCATTCCCCTTGCCATATATTAGTTCAGCTCACCCATTTTTGCACCAGCTATTTAGCTTAGCCTTGCAGTGTAGGATTTACCTTGGTTCTAGGCAGTAAATGTAAAAAGAGATGCATACATGAAACATTTGAACATACTTAGGTTTTTAGACAGGAATTACAAACAAATGGGTAATCAAACTGTAGTTCCAAACACCATGTAGTGGCTTGCTAAAAAGTTGGCTAGCTGCACTGCAGTGGAAATTGTGCTTGACACCTAACATATTCAGCACACAGTATCTACACAATCAAGCAATGGTTTGCATTTCGAACAAATCAGAAAACAATCCCTCCCCCTTGAAATAATTTCCTAGTATTTTTAATCTTGTTGGCCACTGTGAGAAGGAAAATACTGGACTGGGGGAATTCTGGTCTGTTACAGCAACATATTTCTGAGTGTGAAAGAAACATTAATATATTCACAGTGAGGGTTCCTGCATTATTAAATTTTAACATACTAAGAAAAATCAAATATATATTAAATCAGGCTTATTCTGCCACTCTGACCGCTGCCTCATTACAGGATTCCAAACAGTGCTCATTGCCAGACAGCAATTTTTAGATTCCAGCCAATTCTAAGTTCCACTCTGCTGTCCTTTCCTTACCTGATTGTCAATTTTGATTTCTGTCAGTATTTCATTTCCTTTCAGAGCATCAATCAAAGCAAGGATGCCTGTTCCAGTAATAAAATTGGATTCTATATTTAGACTTTTCAGTGTCTTGTTTACTTTTAACATATCTGCAAAAGCCTGAAAAGACATATAGGAATGAAAAAAGCTATACTGGTTTTATTTCTGTTTGCCTTAAGAAATATTACATTTCAGAATTCACCTTTCCACCACTGTCCCCTCAAAACAGTGTGATATTGTTGGATAAATAATGAATCAGTTAAATAAATTATAGTAAAGACATTCACGGAAAACTCAAAACAGTGCAAGCCTGCAGCATTTCAAACATGAAACTTATTTTGTTTATATTTTTTAGCATATTTATTTATTCTGCAATATTTTCTGATAGTTTACATGTTATCAACCCAATATTAAAATAGAATAATGCAATTTTCCCCAGGAAAACCTCACCATCGCAACAGGGTCATTGCTCCGAGTAGCTGCCAGGCTGAATTTCTTCACATGGTTATTGGTTTCCAAAGCCTTTGCAAACTCTTTCAGGGTTGGAATTGGGATATTCTGTATAAGATAAAAAATACCACTAATTGCTCGAGTTTAATAGATTCTGGGATGGGTTCAGTTGTAGCCATATGGTGGCCTGGTTCTGCCAGAGTGGTACTAAGCCAAAACTGTGTTGGACAGCCCAGTATCCCAAACTATAAATGAATCAACTTTTTGAGCAACTCCATACTTTTAATTTTGACTTTACACATTTATTAATATAACTTGTATCCCACTTTTCATAACATAATATTAAGGCAACTAACAACATATTTAAAATAAAACAAGATAATCATTAGGAAATGTTGGTAAGGCAAATAAATTAGGATCAGTCTAAAGCTAATAAAAGACAAACAAGTTTTATCTAAATAGAACTAAAGAAACTTTAAAAAGGGAGAAGGCACAAGTAACAATTACACAACAGAGAATACATGATTGTTTTGATCTCATACTCAAAAGAGTTGTTTTTACAAGGCTGACAATTGGCCTTTTAAATGTTTCAACACATCTTTTTGAAGTGAATGAAACTGCAATTCATCATCCTCCAAAAGTATCCTTACTGTTTGCACATGAATTTCACCCTGGTGATTTTCATGTGAGTACAGCATGCAAGTATATAGTCTCTTTTTAAACTTCAGCTTGAACACTGACATGAACTTTAATATCTGCTTCATAACATCTATCATGGATGAAGCCATAGTCTAGACAAGAAAAAATAAAGGCCATCTCAAAATATTTTACAACACTGGGGCAACAAGCAATTGAATTTGACATTGATAGAAGTACCTTTATGTTGTTCAGATTGACTTCCTGGAGAGTGGGATCATTTGCTTTAATTCTTTGCAAACAAGCTTCAACATTTGTTGGATTAGGTGGTTCTTCAAAAACAGGCTTGACCTTTTCACCTTTAACCACATCTGGAAAAAAAGCCAGTAATGTCATGAGATCCCTTCCATCCATATACCATTAATACGGAATTTTCCCGAAAAAATAGTAATATTTTTAGTGAAATGATATATGCACTCCAGGCCACCAATTACTATCTGATGGATTATTCTATAACAGCTTTGGCTTTCTCATTTCTACAAAGTCATCTTTGTCCCTTCTCTCCTTGTTTTACACACTTTTCTCCACCTCTAGCAATTGTCAGTTCTGTCAGGCTTCACAGCAAGCATGGCTATACATTTTGGTTCTGCAGACCCTTTATCCCTTATTCAGGACTTTACTTACTCAACAGAAGGCTTTCAGACCAGGCTGTCAAGTCCTTTTTTCCTTTTCTTGCAGATGACTAGGCATAAATTTTCATGCATCATAGTAATTAGAAATATGGTTTTGGCTTAGCTGGTTATGTAAATATAGCCAATTTTAATTTATTCAGACACACAGAGAATTTATTTCAGTCATTGACCAATAAAATATATTCTATAAAACAAAGCAAAATTATCCTCTAACATCAATAACTATTTTGATTTATTCAATAAACCATGATTAAACCAGAGCACTGGTTAAGCTCATGTTTAACCTCTCATAGCATGCTATATTTTCAGTTATATAACTCAGTTTACAGAACCTTCTAAAATAGATTCTTCACTAGCTGTTCTAATTAAAAATGAAATACTATTGTCTAAGGGGGAAAGTATTATTTTTGGAACAAAAATGCCTGACACAGCAAATTCCTAGTTCCTACATTCATGATGGGAGTGCAGTTTAGGAGACCTGCCCATTGACCAATGGCTAATTGGATTTTTGCAACAATCATCATAATCATCACAGTGGGAAAAAGATGAGCAGCATAAGTAGTTTGATGGTTGCAGAATATTAGCCTCTTGCTTGGAGGGCTAAAACAAATGGTCAGATGAAAGGAAAAAATGCAGATTTGTTTCTCATGTCAACTTGTTTTTCTGTTTCTCTCTCACACACATGGTCATTTGCATTATAATTGTGGAAAGATAACTCGGAGTGCTGATAACATATGTGAAAGTCAGTACTAGATCTAGTTCTGGTACACAGGCCAAAACTAAAGTGATGCTGAGCTTATGTTCCATTGATATGAATGAGATGTTCAATCCATTCCAAAGCAAGTTTGTTCAAAAATAATTCCAGTTCCAGTACTGTACATGCTGCAGAATAAAGTAACAGAATACTAAAGTACTATACTGTAAGTGGGAGATAACATTTTTTTCCTTAATGCTATGCTACATTAAAGAAAAAGTCAATAAAAAAAAGCTAGCACAGCCCAGAAGAGGTTGGGGTAGGTCCTTCTCCCCAATATTTGGTTCCAGTTTGTTTTTACTTGCAGGAAATGTTAATTTTCCTTCCCATCCTCTTCTATATCTGTTTCAACAGATTCCCCCCAATCCCTTGGAGCAGATTTAGGCAGTGCTGAAGAATGCAGGGGGAGGAGAGATCCCCTCTGCCAGCAATGTCTGTTTCATTGACAGATATGATCCACTATCCCCACCCTCTGAATTACCTGAAATGTTTGTTCTATTCCATTATTGCTGACCTAAGGCTCTCCAGATATTGTTAGCCATGTCATCCTGTTTGAAAATTCTGAGACTTGGTTCCCAGACATAACTAGAGAATATCAGATTAGACAAAACAGGTGTATTCTGTCACCATATTCCAATACCTGAGTAGACCAGACTAAAATAAGATCAACAGAAAAATCATTTTCAAGATTTTTTTTTTTTTCAGATTATAGCTCAGAGCTGATAGGCACATATTTTGCATGCAGAAAATTGCACGTTACATCCTTGACAATTCCAACTGAAATTCCAGTTGAAATCCCTACAGAATGAGGATAATATAGATATTGATTTGCACTTACAAAGCAGATGTTTATGTCTCTCAGCACATGGGTCAATTGTCCCATTTGCTCTTGGTGTGATGCATGCAGGGGAATGTCTTTACTTACTTTTCACAATTCCTTTGCCATCTTGGCTGGTGGTTCCTTCATCAAACTTAGGGTTGTTGACCAAGTTATGTACTCCAAGGACAGCTAGAAATACCAGAAATACCAGCAATAGGATTGAACACAACATTGCTTGAAAAAAAGTGGCCTTCATCTAGAATCTCTTGCTTTTCTCTTAGAATTCTGCCATGTTTCTAATCAGCAGCTAATATATCAGGAGGAGGATAATCAGGTAAATTATTTTTCATTTAGGTTTATTTATTTAAATTATTTTATACTGCTGTTTAGGAAAAAGCCTCTTCTAGGAAGCTTACAAGGTAACATTTTACATAATTAAAATACAAAATGTAATCCAATAGAAGCCCTCAATATAATTGCAAAAGTTAAAAATCCAGTTTAAAAACTGAAAATGGGCTTATCATTTATATGAAAACAAACTGTAATGCTGATTTTAAAAACAGTATTGAGATAAGAATACTGAGCAGAGAAAGATTTTGAGTTCAGTACCAGTGCAATGGATCCACATGATATTCTATCAGCATTCTAAGGCTATTTCATCCGTGATGCACTTCTTACATGGAATAGCCCTTCCATTTTGGAAAAGATGTGAAGACCTTGGCAATCATGTCCATATATTTCAATAAGTGTGGATGTCAGAAATCTGTACTGGCCGGCAGCATGTGTGTACACTTATATAATAGCCCTATGCAAGTATTTGCATGTAGTTACAGTTCAGTGTGTTGGAGAATATAGTTATGGATACAGTTTGAACTCTGTTCAAACCTCCCTATATTCCTGACTGGCTGTTAGATCTTTGAATATTCAACATCTTTGAATGTTGAAATCTTTGAATATCCACATATTCAAAATTACCATTAAACCCAGTTCCAGAGTTCCCACTGTTGGGTTTCTCAATTGTAAGAGTGCTGTTAGTGAGTTCAGAGGAATGCACTTAGAGAAGGCATCCAGTCGCAGTGGGGGAGTGCTTACACACACATCCATTTCACCACATATCTGTGTGCAGGTGATGACAAGGGCACACGGACAATAGGATCCATGGCTTATATCCATGGTAACAAATCTGGAGTGACTGAAAGACTGACCCTGCTATGAAACAAGCAGACAATCTAGCCACACACCTGCTAGATCATACAGCTCAGTATCGGAGGCACTGGCCAGGGCTTCTTCTAATTCTGGATCCAGAGTCACCTTCTTTTCTGTCTCGGTTTCTATTGGTCTCTCTTTAGGCACAAACGCCTTTCCTTCAAGACAAAAACAAACTGAATCAATTAAAGAATGTGATGGCAGTGAGCTTAGGAGAATTCATCCATTTTAGCATATTCTGTATTCAGAATGAGATCAGAAGAAGAAGAGCAGCATTTATGTATTATAGGCAAACTAGGGCAAATGTCCAAAATTCAGCATGTGCTCACATTTAGAGGTGAATGAATACTCACTACCCTAGGATTTAGTCCTGAAGGGGTTATTGGAGGTCATCCCCTGTTCAGCAAAGCATCTGTAATTTAGGATGCAACTACAGGCCTTCTAATAGATGGCCATCCAGCCTGTTCACAAAGTAAAAGCCAACAAAAGCAAACATTTAGCTGCTGGTATTATTTTTAGGAAAATGATTCATAATTTCCAAATTTAAAAGCTGGCAATAAGGTAATAATTTTCAAAGGAATGCATCAGCTCTTGAACATCTCATAAGTTTAACCTTCTTTCCTGACTCAATCCCATAATGCATACTGATGGATTAAATGACTTACATCTTCATTGCTCAGCAACAGGGTTGTCTTGTTTTCATTATTTTATACACAATGTTTTGATCCTAATATTCTTCTGAAGAACTTGAGTCAAGTGCATGTGAGATAGACTAAGTTAAGTGCCTGACTACCCCAAGACAATCCAGTAAGCTTTATGGCAGAATGGATATCAGGCCATAGTGCTGATCCTACATTCTATACACCATGTTGGTCCTCCACTTACAAGGTGGGGTGATTCACAAAGAAAAAAGAAATCTAATAATCATGTGTTGCATTTTGAGAGCCAAAAGCACTTCACCTACTTACATTATCTTTGCAATAGCTTTGTAAGAAAAACCAGCAGTGGAATATCTCTGTTGATCATGGAGTGAGAGCAGAAGAATAAGGTTGTGACTGGCTGACACCCACTGCATGAATTCATGGCAGAGGTGAGGTTTGAACATAGGACATCCAAGCCACACCATAACTGCTGTCCAAAGTCCTTGTTTGCCAACACTCCATTCCAGCGCTCAGCTCTCCTTAATCTTCTCTTTCATGCATGTGCTTAACCTTACATAAAGGGCAGCCCATGTTCTTCCTCTATGCCCCTGTCTCCAGTCCTGTAGCCTGCCCTGCCCTGCTAGAATATCTGCAGTAGGCAGATATTTTTCTCAACTGTAGTTTAATAGATTCAGATTTAGGGCATTTCCACATAACACCATTTCTATTTCGCCAGTCCTCCAAAGCCAGATATGTAACGATCTTCATTCTGGCTCAGCTTGGATAACTGAGAACAAGCACCCTCCACCAACAATAGGTGAATGCAAAAATCACCATCCAGATAATGCCCTCCACCTGAGCTACAACAGCTCCTAGAATAATAAAAAGAAGGGGAAAAAATTGAACAGCTAACTCCCACCCCCGTTTGTCAACACACACTGGGTGCATATGTCTAGCCACTTTGCAAAACATCTGAGCTGTTACAATATGAGGAAAGCTCATTGCTGACAAGATGTCATTCCTCCTAAATATACATTTTTAATGATGGCATGATACTGTATTTTGTAGCTAGACACCTTTCCCAAGAGCTACAATCATAGCTGCGGTATAGAACATTCACATGTGTGAGGGGAAGAGAAAAATGACTCACTTGAGGCCAAAGACTGGGAGGTGAGTCAAGGTGAAGCAGAAGTTCAGTGCACACTGTTTATATAAGCAGGAAAATAAAGCTAGCAATTTTTTAAAAGCAGCTGTAAAACTGACTAGAAGGATTATATTGGGTTTGCTGATAGGACTGCCTGTGAAATCTATTAGAGAGTTCCAAGTTCAGCCTGCCTACAAGTTCCTCTTGAGCTCCAGTGTCAGAACTTCAAAACAAAGTTTTGTAATTTGAGCTGCACTGCAGCTGGAAGAAAACTGGCTCAGTGGCCCAAGGAGGATAATATGTGTGACCTCTGTGATGCAGGATCAATGCCATATGTGGAGGGATACACCAGATCACATTCATACTTCATGCAAACCCATAATGTGTTTGATTTTGACTTAATGCATTACATGGATTCAACCCATTTCTGCTGTTTAATGTTATATGAGAAGTAGGCCACAACAATTATTCAAGCTATAGTTAAAGAAACCAAACCTTAGAACAGTATGCAAACTCAGCCTGTAAAATATACTTTTGAGCTGTAAAGTCATGGTGCTCCAGAAGTGTGAAATGGATTTCCCTAAGCAGATGTGACTATTTGCTAGAAAAGTGATCAAATTGCTTTTGCAGTCTCCTCTTCCACCTCCCACCACTTCCCCCGCCCCACTGTCCCTCCACAGTGTAACTGAAACCATATGGTAGGCTTTAATATATCTACAAGAACTCCACAAGCAACAGAATGTGGGAGAAATCATTTTGTCCAAGACTTTCCTAATGAACCAGTCTATTTCAAACAAAAAACAAAGGAGGTGGGCTAGAAAGAAGGGAAAAAAACAGATGCATTAGGAGGATTGGCTTTTAATACCATGTTCCTACTGCCTTCTGCCCATTATGACTTAACAACAATGGCTGGGTTCCAACCTGCAACATTTCATATACTGTATATACAAGATGGCATTTTTTTAAAGGACACCAGATGTACATTATCACACCTTTGTGCTACACATAAACCAGAGAAATGCTCATGCCACCTTCTCATCTGCCTGTCCCCACACCTACAGCCCAAGAGTGGTATCAGAGTTGCCAGTTACTGTTTGCAATAGTGAAAAGTAAAAATATTTCAATGGTTGAAAGAGGAAAAAAAAATATTCCACCATCCATCAGTGCTGGGGGATGCATGTGTGTCAAGGAGTCATTTAAACTCACCATATTAAGAAGCAGAAAACCCAGAGCAAAACTAAAATAATCAGAGATTCTTGATGTGGAAATATTGGTTGCAAATATGTAATTATTCCTTTTTCATAAAATTAGCAATGTTAGCTATTGGTTTTACACATCACATTAAGGCATACTGTCATTTGCTTATTTGTGGCTGGGCATGACATATACACCCAGCCATTGTATTTACAGCTTAGATTGATGGGAAACTTCAGCCAACTGTGGTATATTCAGACCATGGTTTAACTCAGTCTGTAAGCTCAGCCATGAGTTTCAGCAAAAAAGGAGTGTCTTGGATTATGGCTCATAGATTTATGATGGCATACCTTTTCCTGAGCAGCATCCCTTTTATTAGATGCTTAGTTTACACCTAGATTGGCTGTTCCCAATTACCGCTTATCATCTGATCTTTCCACTGGGATGGGCATTGTCAGTTTTGGTATCTCTTTCCTTAGAAAGCCTATTTCTGCTTTATTTCAGTGAGTACAAGATATTCCCAAGTAGCTCAGTTCCAAGGAGAATCAGGCTGTTAAGCTTTACAAATAATCATTCCCCAGCAATTTTCACTGCAAGGCCTGCCTAAATAAATAAATAAATAGATAGATAGATAGATAGATAGATAGATAGATAGATAGATAGATAGATAGATAGATAGAGAAAGAAAGAGAGAGAGAAAGAAAGAGAGAAAGAGAGAAAGAGAGAAAGAGAGAAAGAGAGAAAGAGAGAAAGAGAGAAAGAGAGAAAGAG